GTCCCCTGCGCACCTGTGCCTGGACCGCCAGGTAGAAGGCGCCTTTCTTAAAGGGCAGCAGGTCCCCGTTGTCGTTCCGCGTGCCCTCGGGGTAAATCCACACTTTGAGCTGCAGGGAGAAAGGAGGCAGCTGTGGGAAGGTGGGGTGGGGTGGGGAGGCCGTGCCCCCCTCCTGTGGAGCCCACGGCTCAGTAGGGACCCCCAACAGCACAGCCCTGCTCCCTGCCTTCCTGTGTGCATTGCAGACAGGCACCGAGGATGTGCGTTTTGTTTATTTGTTTTTAATATATTTTTATTGATTTCAGAGAGGAAGGGAGAGGGCGAGAGAGAGACACATCGATGATGAGAACCATGGACCGGCTGCCTCCTGCACACCCCCTACTGGGGATGGAGCCCGCAACCCAGGCCTGTGCCCTGACCGGGAATCGAACCCTGACCTCCTGGTGCCCCGCAGGCCCGGGCCCCACTCACGTTCTCGCGGGTCATGAGCTCGCCCACGTCGGCCATCACGCTCATGGCGGTGCTGGAGCGCTGCCGGTTGATGAAGAAGACGCCCCCCAGGTACATGATCAAGCCCACCGAGCCCGTGAACAGCAGCTCCCGCTTGGCGATCTGCACGCAGCGCGGGGGCAGGATCTCCATGAGGCCTGTCGCGTGGTCACCGGGAGGAGGAGGGGGTTCAGACCTGGGGCCGCCACCCCAAGGAGCAGGGAGCGGCCCTGCCCCTGACCTCTGGTGGTTGGACACGATGACGCAGGGCCGGTCCACCCACAGCCGCTGACGACCCTTCACGTCGAAGCGGAGGCCGTACAGGTACTTGAAGGACCGGACGAACCAGCTGATGATGCTGAGGGGAGAGGGAGAGGGTGCTGGTGAGCGGAGGTCCGCTGGGAGGGGTACAGGAGACACCGGGGACCCCTGGCTCTCGCGGGCTGGCTCCAGGGCCCTGCGGCCTTTCCCTCCAGGGGACCGTGGAGGCTGCCCTGCCTCCCGCCATCGTGACCAGACAGGAGGGAGCCAGGCCGCGGGGGGCAGATGCCCAGCGAAGGGGGGCCTCTGTTTCCCCGTCTGCATTTCAGGGGCCGCCCAGCCCTCGGCCCACACCCCTGCCCGCTCAGCAAGCGGGGACCCCGCTGGAAGGGGGCTGCAGGGCCCGAGCCCCACACCCTCCAGGGGCCGTGACATGCCGGGGAGGTGACAGGCCCCTCAAAGCCGTGCCACACCAGGAAATGAGCGTTGGCACCGAGTGGGGAGCGTGTGATGTTACAAAATTCTGAATGCTTATGTACAAACTTGTACTTTCAAATCTATATTCTGCTTTGGGGCTGAAAAGAATTGTGCTATAGGCTTGAAAAGAAATAAGTAAAAACCATAATGTAAACTTTGTAAGAAATTTTCTTACCAAAAGAAAAAATATGTATGTTTCATAATATTTTTATTTTTGGAACTCTACCAGAAAGAAGAAAATTAAGAGTCTAACCCTAGCTGGCTTGGCTCAGTGGATAGAGCATCGGCCTGTGGAGGGGTCCTGAGTTCGATTCTGGTTAAGGGCACATGCCTGGGTTGCGGGCTCAATCCCTGGTAGGGAACATGCAGGAGATAGCCGATCGATGATTCTCTCTCATCATTAATGTCTATCTCTCTCCCTCTCCCTTTCTCTCTAAAATCAATAAAAACATTTTAACAAAACAAACACGTAAATGTCCAACACACGTGGAGAGAGCCCCATCTCGCCGGGAAAAAGTGCCAGTCAAAACAAGAACGCCGCTCCCCCCGGGCACAAAGGAAAGGTGGCAGGCGCATGGTGTTGGGAAATGGCCTCTCTGCCCGCCCCCAGCCTCTCTGCCCAGCCAGGTGGCTTTCCCAGGACCGGAGGCTCAGGGGGGACGGCATTTGGGGTGATCAGGAGCTGCAGGGGGGCTCCAGGCAGCAGCCCGACACTGCCACGGGGACTGCACTCCCACAGCTGAAAGCCCACGGCCGGACTCCGTGGGCCGAGGGGAAGGCTGGCGTCCTCCACGCCCCCACCACGTGGGCCCGCTCCTCCCCTCCCGTGTCCCCATTCCCACGGTTCCCTGCGGACACGGTGGGGAGGGATGTGTGGTCACTTCAACAGCAGGCATTTCCGAGTGCCCACCCTGGGCCCCGGGCCCCGGGCAGAGAAGCCAGGTGGTGGGGATGGTCCTCGCTGACCTCTGCTGTGCGCCAAGGGCTCCCCCGAAGCAGCATGTGCTCCGACAGTCACCCCACAGGCCACGCACTCACTATACCCACCCGGCAGATGACAAAGGCGAGGCTTAGCAGTTAAGTGACCTGCCCACGGCCACACAGCCGGGAGCCAGGACGGGCCAGAGCCCACCTCTCAACCAGGGGCTGGGGCAGCGGCTTGGGGACGGCAAGAGGTCCAGCTCCCAACGACTCCTCTGAGCCCCCCACCCACCAGCAGTAGGCGGGGTGCTCTGCCTCCCTCCTAGCGGGAATCTCAGCAATGTCACCTCGACGGCCCCTGCCCAGGCCTCCCCCTGCGCCAGCCCCCACCGCCCCGCAGCAGCGCTGGCCTGGGACATGGTCACACAGCCCCGGTCCCCATCCCACATCCTCCAGCCCCCAACTTCATGACCCTGTGTCCCCAAAGGAGGCCACAGGGTGAAGCCATGGTCGCCTGAAGACCAAGCGCCCAGGAGATGGGTAGGGTGCCCAGCAATGTTCTAGAAGCATTGCCCCGGGGGTGACGGGGTGGGCTTCCCGGGCAGGGCAGGCGGCCCCAGAGCAGGCCCTTCCTGGGTTTTTTCAGGAGCCGCTGCTGCACCGCAGACCCCGCCACGAACATCACAAGCTCTTCTGGGGCCCGTGGGAGCCCAGAGCGGCCCGAGCAGCAGCCTCCTGGGACACGTGCCCTCGGCCAGACTGACCCTTCTCACCCGCTGTGAACCTGGGCAGTACACCTGACCTCCCTCCGTGTGCAGAGGGACTGAGCTCAATGAGGCTGGGGTCCCGGGACAAGGGGGGCCCTGGGCGGACAATACACGGTGGCTGTGAGGACAAGGCCCTGGGCAGAAAAGAACCCAAAGTGAATGGGAGCAGATTCCACCCCCGCGGCCGCCCCCCAACCCCCGCCCTCCACTCCGGGTGGCTGGGAGGCAGTTCAAGGCCAAACCAGGCTACCTGTGACCTTTGCCCTCGGCCTTAGTTGCTTAGGCCAAGGTGTGCCCGCCCTCGGCCAGCCCCCAGAGCCAGGGATGTGGCGGCACTCACGTGGGGGCAGCCCCGCCAGGAGGGCAGCACGGAGCCCCGGATCTG